TGAAATCACATTATATAAAAATATATATTTTCATATAAGAAAATACAGATATAAAGAAAGTATTTTATTATTTAAAAAGTACATTTTATGTTATTTAAAATATTTTTAATGGATGTTACTATTTTGTTAATTTTCCCTTTTAATGAAATCATATTATAAAACATATATTTTCGTATTTTAATTTTTCCTTTTAAATTTTATAGATGTTTTTTCTATTATAAATTTTAGTTGGAAATTTTTAAAAAGGAAACTAAATACAAAATTAATAATACTATTTTACTATTTTGATAGTATATTACTATTTTGTGAACTTTCCTTTTTAATGAAATCATATTATATAAACATATATTTTCCTTTTTAAATTTAATAATTTTTTTCTTTTTTATTATAAAAGTTATTTGGAATGTTTTAAAAAGGAAACTAAACATAAAATTAATAATATTATTTAAATATACTATTTAAATATATTCATCAAGGGTATCATAGTAATCAACCGGTGTAAGAGTCAACGTGAGCGAGTCACATAGGAAACTGACTTCTCAAATAATATTATAGAGATTTTTAATTTAGTTTCTTTTTTACTTTTTCCAAATAACATATATAATAAAAAGGAAACATTTCTAAAAAATTTTAAAAAATAATTAAAACGAAAATATATGTATATAATATGACTTTATTAAATAGGAAAGTTCACAAAATAGTAATGCCCCAATTAATATATTTTTTTAAATAAAATAAAATATATTTTCAAAATAATAAATATATATATGTTCATGAACATCCAAAAATTTATCAGTTACACTATATTTTCTAATTTTTTTAATCACATATAAATTGATAAATATTATGAAAATACATGTATATTTAAGCGATAAATAAACCTAATTTGATTTGACTTAACTACAATAAAGAGTAAAATATTATTATGAAAATACATGTATATTTAAGCGATAAATAAAATTTAATCTTACTTAACTAAAATAAAAAGTAATTATACTTCAATTTTAATTTTAAAATATATTTAACTCAATATACTCACAAAATGAATGACTCGACTAATCTAATTTATATCTAAAATTAAACATCAAACTACAATAACAACATATAATTTTATAATAATAATAATATTAATAATATATTTAATTGTATACATATAAATTATAGGTTGACTCAAAGCATATATAAAAGAGAAAAAAAATTAACCAACTGCAATTTAATTCTTTTGTGGAATTTATATAAATGCATGAGACTTCAAAATATTATCATTATATTCATTTATGTAATTTTGAATCAAACACTTCAGCTTATTATTTATTTCATTTTAAGCATAATATATATTAAGTTATACATAATTTAACTATAATATATTTACATATCTAAAACAATAACCAACCGAAATGAAAATCAGAAAATTAATAAAAGTTTTATTACATTTAGAATAAAAATATTATAGATGAATTCAAAAAATAGATATTATCCAATATACGAAATTGATAACCAAACCGACTTTGATCCAAAAATAATAATTAAACTGACAATAATATATCCAAGTCATATGTATAGTTAAAATAATATAATATTTATTCATATAAATTATAGATATAAATTGATTCAAAACGAAAACTAAATATCAATTAATTATTATAAAATTTTACTTTTATGAATATTCATACCCGTGCATGAGCACGAGAAAATCACCTAGTATGATTAAAATATATATGCAATTAATGATTATGAATAATAATACATTTTTTGTGTCCTATCTCTTTTGTTTAATTTTACATTATTAAAATAAATTAAACAATCACATTAAATATATAATAGAATATTGAGTTTTTTCTTATATTTTATATTTTGAATTTTTTAAACGACCATAAATTGTTATAAATAGTAAAAGTTCCACACTGAAAATTTTAACAATACATGGTTTTGATTATAATTTTAAATATATATATATATATATATATATTTGTAAATATAATTTTAACTTAAAAAATATTTTATCTTAATTTAATTTTTAATTAAATCAAATCTAAGTTTAAATATTGGTAAAAAAATAATAAAACTTATAATATTAGTAAAATCTATTATTAAATATAATTTAAACTTAAATAACTTTTTACACCTAGTTTATCGGATACATGCCTCGCGCCCATCCCTAGATAATTGATTGAAGAAAGTCTGTTACCGGAAACAACGGACGACGATCTCATGTTTATCTCTATGTTTCGGTTTCCTACACCGATCGAGTACGTCTGCTTTTCGTTATCTCATCTCACATGTCTTTTTATTTCTTACTATTTATTGCTAACAAGTAACTTATGAGATATATACATTAACAAACTTAACATTGAGTGCATATACCGCGATTCCTTTTCTCATGAATGATGTATTACTTTTGAATGTAAAGAATTATTTATGAAACTCTTGCAAAAACCATGTTTGTATGCGTAGGAACTCCGAAGAGAACGTTAATTATTGATGATTACTATCGTTTTAACAAAATGTCGTGCTATAGAGGGAACCTCACATATGTTATAACTCACCGGAAATAATATCATTATATGATTAAACCAATAATAATTAGATGCATATGTGACGTTTTCACGTGGTTTAAAAGTTGGAGTCCATGCGTGCGCCGTATATCCGTTGAGATGGTTAAGCGCCAAACAGAATTGCATGTGAGACTTTTGCATAATACATATAACGTCACCTTCTAGCCTTCTATGTTTCTTCTTAAAAATCGTTATCGAATCATAATAAGAGAAGTGATAAGCACTAGTTAACTCCCTATATAAGTGAACTAGTGAAGTCTTGAAAATTGAAAACTTCATTCAGCTTATTTTCTACTTCTTCAGTCCTACTCTTTTCAGCCCCCAACAAAGTCATGAATCTTACAGAATATGCCCATATTTTAATTATTTCACTATGCACCCTCAACTTCTACTTCCAGAAGATAAACTCCGACGAAAAAGGAGGCTGGGAGAGAGGCCATGCCACTTTCTACGGCGGAGCTGATGCATCCGGAACAATGGGTACTTAAAGTTTTTTTCATTTGCAGTTTTGCACATACATCACCTCCAAATAAATTCAGTTACATTTTTTTTCTAAAAATAATTTCCAAATAATCACTATGGATACAAAAAAAAATGTTGACCTTTTGTAGGAGGTGCGTGTGGGTACGGTAACTTGTACAGCCAAGGCTACGGACTACAAACCGCGGCGCTGAGCACGGCTTTATTCCAAAGTGGTCAGAGGTGTGGGGCTTGTTTCGAGTTAAGGTGTGAGGATGATGATCAGTGGTGCCTCCCTGGTTCCATCATTGTCTCCGCTACAAACTTCTGTCCTCCAAACTTTGCCTTAGCCAACGATAATGGTGGTTGGTGCAATCCTCCCCTCCAGCACTTTGACTTGGCCCAGCCCGCCTTCCTCCAGATCGCTCAGTACCGAGCCGGAATCGTTCCTGTCGCATTCAGAAGGTAAACAAGTTTACCCATTTTTTGTTTGAGGTGAATTCAAAATTGTTCGAATAGAAACTAAAAACCCAATAAAGAATTATTTGATATTTATTCTTTTAACTACAATTTTCTAACAATAATATAATAAATATTATACATTTTGCAACTGAATATGATTATATTTATGGAAAATGTGTATCTTAAACTTTCTATCAAATATAATTAATTAATAAATATATTCAACTAATATAACTTATTTTATTTTGTTAGAGTACATTGGCCCAATGCAGGTTTTTCACCTTATATAATTAAAGAAGAAGAAATAAAAAAGTTGGAAAGGGAACAAGAAAAAGTTCTCCTTATACTACCGACCAGAAACTTACTTACAGCTGTTCTTTACATTTGTCGTAACTGGTAACCATTATAGAAACATTAGGAATTGATAGGAAAAAAAAAGAATAGGAATACAATTTTGGGAATGATGAAGAATGATGATTCCTTATAAAAATTAACAAAGAACAATTTTTTTCTATAATTCTCTACAAAAATAATAAAAGAATGAAAAAAAAAACTATTCCTTATAAATGGTAATTAATTTTTTAAGGAATGTTAAGGAATATAGTGTTCCTCTTCATTCATTTGATTACCATTCAAAGCCAAAATATGATTAGCTCACACATTTAATTTAATTTGGTTAAAAAAGATAAATTAAACTAACAATATCTGTGTTATTTAGAACTCATTTTGGAGGACCCAACCGTTAAGGCTGCCCTTGGATATAACTTTATACTATACTACAATGCATGGGTTTCACTAAAACGCTTTAGTTTGCTCTCAATGCGATTGAATCCAGTTTATATGCCATGTGAAAAAACACCTTAGCATTTTTGTCATGTGATGATGACAGGGTTCCATGTGAGAAATCTGGAGGGATAAGGTTTACTATAAACGGGAATTCATATTTCGACCTCGTGCTGATCACAAACGTGGGTGGTGCTGGTGATGTTAAGGCCGTAGCTTTGAAAGGCTCAAAGACTAATGAATGGCAATCCATGTCCAGAAACTGGGGACAGAACTGGCAAAGCAACAGTTACCTCAGAGGTCAAAGCCTCTCTTTTCAAGTCACTGCGAGCGATGGAAGGAGTGTTGTGAGCTACGATGTTGTTCCTGAGGATTGGCAGTTCGGCCAAACTTTTGAAGGAGGACAGTTCTAGATTATGTATCAAGAGAAAATAAATATATATATACACACAAGAAGAGTCAATGGTTGTGCTTAAGACAAAGACTCTGCTCTTAGTAGCCTTTATGGATCATATATATAAACTCATTTAAAGTCATAAGATAGAGAATGGGACAACCATCCAAACTATGTTTTACATTCCTTTTGAGTGTATGTTATAAAGACTTTCATTATATCATAGTTTCCCTAAAATTAGAGTCAATTGACATGTCTTGTTTCATTGGATAAATAACTACGAGTTGCACAATCATTATCAAGGCCAAGATATACTGCAACATACAGATAATACATCAATGCTTGCTTCTTAAATTAGTTATCTGCCAAATAATCAAAGTCTCTTTGGTAGTAACTGAGAAAAAGTATTTGAAGAGCGCTAACCAAAAAATAAGAGAAACAGCTCTAAAGTTATAAAAGAAGGGAAAAATGAGCCTCTCTTTGCCTATATTTACACAAAATTCCCCCACAAAAACTACCAAATTTGTACACAACAACAGGCCAAAACCCTCTCCATCAAGACAGTAGCTCAGTACTTCAGCACAGTATCGTCTTCCCTGTTTCACAACAAAGTAAAAGTAAGAAAACAAGAAGCAAGAACAAGTGATTTGGTTCAGAGATTATGTAGCGATACCAAAACTCATGTTCAAAATGATCAGATGAATAATAGTCATCCTCTTCATGATCATAGCCCTCACATAACTGTATGAAGTACGCAAACGATTTTGAGGAACATAGTGAGAATGATTATTGCCAAAGGTGGAGAGACAAAGACAACCTTTCTTGATTATGCAAGAAAAAAAAAAGCATTTTACTCAGACCTTATCAAATTTTGCAGCAGCTTTTGAATCCGCCTCATCATCTGCCTACAAATTGTTCATCACAGTTTATTATTCAACAAACTTTTAACTTTACAAAGTGTTTCTAATGACACAAAACTCTTTTAAGACTAGTCATAAACCAAAATATATCACAAAACGTTTTAACTAGTCTGACTCTAAAGAAGGGAACTTAACTCAAATAAGCAAATCCTCCAAATCAAGAAAAATACATCCAAATAAGCATACCTTATATATACTTTGAGCTTCTTCTTTTAATAACCTGTTGTGTGCCAAATCAACTACTTCAGCACGAGCTATAAAGGGTTTCTGATCCTGGGAAATAAGCAACAAGGATACACATAAAACCAAGCCTTCAAAAAACAAGCTTTTCAGAAGAAAAGTTTAAGCCTTTTGAGTGAGAGTGAAGAAACAGATACCTCTCGTGACATGTTCTTCCACACAGTGAAACATATTCTACTAGCATCCACCATGTCCCCATCGCAGCTTTTCCTAAAATCCTCTCTAAAAAAAACATTTTTAAGTTTTTAACACAAACATATCAAGAAACAGAGTAAGGTTAATGGCTACAGTACAAGAAGAAGACGAAAGGTGATCTGGGTTCATCTTCAAAGCTCCCAACTGGTTTACTATCGATTCTATCACTCGAAATGGGCTTAAACCTCTTCACTTCTCTTCTCTTCTCTCCGCACTCGTGCATATCAAACAGAGCAATCGCTATCATAACACCACATTCTTCACTGTAATCAAATCCCAAAAACAGAGTATCACGAATCTACTAATCGATGAATCCAAAAAAAAAAAAAAAACTTGACAGAGCAGTACCATTTGTCGAAAGCGCTTCCATCAGCAGCACGACGAACAGCTTGAACCCTTTTACGAATTCTCGCCATTTAATGCATAAAAGCTCTTCACTTTTTTTTTCTATTTCTGAGAGAGACCAAAGGTTGAAGCTTTTTTTTTAAAGGTCAAACACTTTAGCGCATAATCTCTTGTTAATGCTAATGTGCGCTTAACAGATTAACGCGCGGGAGTTAATTGGCGCGTATTTAAAAAAACAGAGGAAATCTCTTATTCCCGCTAGGAATTTAATTATTTGTAACAACCAATGGGATTAAGCCACGTAATCACTTGTGAACTAAGCTAATAAAGAATTTCGAAAATGGTAGTCCCTCTGTTTCTTAGTAGATAAAGTTTTGGCTATTTGCCCACATATTAAGAAATTTTTAAAAAAATATATATATGGAAAATATAATTTAAAATTAACTAATTTAATTATAAATAAAATTATAAAATCACATTTGATTACACAGTTTTTGATAAAGTTAAAATTACATAGATATGTGAAAACTTCATCTATTATAAAATAACAATAATCACCTCAAAGTTGTTAAAAAAAAAAAACAATAATCACCTCAAACATCATCAGTACTAAAATGGAGGGAGTATTTCATATTGTAAAGTATACTTAGCAAATTTCATTAATGCGAAGATAATACACACTTAAACACAATACAGGCACATTTAAACGGATCTTCGACATTTTAGGGGAAAGATCAAAAGTCTTATTCTCTCACAAACCAATCATAAAAAGACACGTGGAGAGATTACTCAGTTGGTTCTCCCACAAACCTTCCTTATCTCACCGCTACTACCAGTCAAGGGGCTAATATCACCCATCTTGATCATCGCCGCTGCGAAGTCGGAGTTAAAGCTCGACGGACTATTGCTGTAACCACGGACTATGGAGTCCGTGGAGCCCCCGTTGAAGAGCTCCTGGTCTGAATGGAGTAGACCTCTCTGAGCCATGAGGTTCTTGAAGTAGCTGTTGTCGAAAGAAGTCGCTGAGTTGATGTCAAGTGGAGCTAGGTTCCCGTCGCCTGAACCGGCGGTTCTAGGGCAAGATCTCTGACGTAAGGTGGCGAAGGCGGCGTTGATGTTTGTCTCGTTGTAGACTCTTGTTCGGAAGTTCGTGCAACGCGATTGACCAATAGTGTGCGCGCCTGAAAGAAAAGATTAAAGATTAGTTTGTTTAATAGTTGACTAATTTTATGGTTAACGTTTTTCTAATAATAATGTATATGATTACGTAACTTTGGCAAATGAACAGAAAAGCCAAAGTGTGTTGAAAAACAAACACAAAGAAACAAGAAAGAGCCCACAAGTTTCAAAAAGACAATCTAATTATTTATTTTGTGTCTTAATCATATAAATGTATTAACGGGTATTTTGAAATTTGCATTCAGCCTTAATCAAACGATTGTTCTAAAAGTAATCTCCTTCACTGGTTGCTTTAATTTATTCTTTTATCTCAATCAACCTATGAAACGAAAAGTAGCATATATAGTGAAAAATAGAGGTAAGAATATAAATGAAACGAACCGGAGAGAGCAACCATATCTCTCGTGGAGAGTCCAACGGCACTGAAACTCCTAATAAGCTGGCTCAGACTCATACTCGGTGCCGGAATGTTACTATTTGCCGCGGCTTGACTAGCTGTTTTTGCATCTCTTCTTCCTACTTTCACATTCCAATTCGGCCCTCCAAGCTTCAACAAAAACAAGGACAAATATATATGACCGGTTAAGTACATAAATTTGCAAAAACCGGACTAAGAGTGAATATATATATGGTGAGAGGCTTACTTGTACGACGGAGTCTCTAGCTGCAATGGCTAAGATATCAGCACAAGACACAACCCCGGGACATGCTTTTTCAACCGCTGTTTTGATGTTATCGATCACATTAAACCCCCTAGCAGAATTGCGGTTAGGGTTCGCGTTTTGTTCTCCAGTAAAGCTTGATGTATCATCTAGTAGTATAGAACCATCGCATCCCTATTATATGATCAATGAATATTATGATTATGATTAGAAGACAATAACAAAAAATAAACCATTATGCTAATTTTCTTGGGATGCAATGAATATAGAAGAAAAGATCAACAAAACAAACTTACGTTGACGAAGCAATCGTGGAAGAAGAGACGGAGGATAGATGCACCCATTCGAGGCTGGCTGCTAACAGCGGATTTAACGCCTGATTTAACGGTGGCGAGAAGATTAGGGCAAGAGGTTGAGTAGAAATTTGTAGTGAGTTGTGCTTCGACGACGTTGGTGTTACCACCTTGTAATAAAAGCGTAATGACTAGAACTAAAAGGGAAATAAGTTGATTTGCAGCCATGTTTGAGTAAATAACGACTTGGATAGACTTAGAGTTGATTATTATTGTACTTGGAGAGCATAACGGAATAGAGGTTTATATAGAGGATGCCCCAATTAAAGTGATAGACAGGTAAGCTAACGCGTTGAAAAATGTGTATGGTTTTGAGTTATAACGTATTTTGTTTTTGGGGTTTAGTATTCATTTTTTTTGCATGGAATTTAATTTGGTAATCATCTACGTCGGTAAGAGAAGCTAATACAAACTTTGTCACCGGTATTTTTCTTACTACCATAGAAGTTTCGGATCTTGGATCCAACATAAGTTTTCATTAATTTTGATTTAAAATAATCATTTGTATTAGGACTGAGACTTTTATCCGGGATCCAGATTCGATCCGAGATTCACTCCGAAATTAGGATATCCGGGGTTGCCCAGATCCAAAGCCGGATAGTAAAATCTCGGATCCAAGCAAATCGAATCCGAATCCGGATATCTTAATTTTTAAGTACGGATATCCGGATTCGAATATGTATTTTAAAAAGTATATTAATTTTTTTATTTTATTATTAATTATATCTGATATATTAATATTTGTACATAAAATAAGTTTAATAATATTCTATTTTTATATTAATAATATTATATGTCATATATTTTCATAAATTATGTATAAATATTTACTTTATGTTATTTTTAGAATTTTTGATTTTTTTTAATTTTTCAATTATTTTTACGGTTCCGAATCCGAATCCGGATACCCGCGCATATCACAATATCTAGACGGGTATCTGAAGTCCGGATATCCGGAAGACACGAATCTGAATCCGGATACTAAAATCACGGATTCAAAAAATCCGAATCCAGATACTTTAAATTTTCCGGATATCTGAATCCGTACTACCCCTACTTTGTATCAAGAGTAGTTTGAACCTAGATCACAAAGGATCCAATCTTCTGAGCAGTAATACTTTTGTATCAAGTTATATCCCTCAAATTAAGTCGACTACTTTATATAGTTAACTTGCAAAATGATGAGAATTATTACTCCATCCATTTCACTTTATTTGTGATTCTAGATTTTTTCACACAACTTTTTCTAAATGTCTATTAAACTTATTATTTTACCTCTAACTAATACTTCCTCCATTTCGGAATATATGTCATTCTAGACTTATTTTTTGGTCACAAATTAAGTCTCGTTTTAAAGTTTCGAGGCAAAATTGATTAGTTTTATTTAATATTCTATTTTTCTATTGGTTGAAAAATGGTTAGGTGTATAGTTAATTGTGTTTTTATCTTGAAAATATCTAAAATTAAATATTTTCTTAATCTGTGTGCAAAAACCTAAAATGACAAATAAAGTAAAACGGAGGGAGTATATTTTATTTTGATTTACTTTAATAATGAGACAGGATAACATGGGTAAAATCGAAAAAAACTATCAAATAAATTGATAACATAAAACAATACTTAAAATGAAGTAAATTGAGGGAATACGAGACTAAATTAATGAGATTAATGATGTTCCAAAAAAAAGGTTTCCGAAAAAATAATGGGACTGAAAACTAAAATAGATCTTAGTGCTTAATGCTTGGTCGTGATTTGCGTGACACTATTGAAGAAGAAACTGTAAGTTATGTATCATCTAAATTTTTGGTTAAGATTGTTTGTAAATAAGTAAGGGGTGTAGATGCCAAAAAAAAGTAAGGGTGTTACAAAAAAAAATGAAGGACCGGTCAAAAATTTTTTTGCTGGTATCACTGTGATTGTGTCAAAAGGTCAAACATTTTCTTAACCATTCTATTATTTCATCATTCGATATTCATATGATTAGTTTTTTTGTTCGTCAAATCGAAATCTGTTCATTTCCACTGTTTTAGCATGATTAAAGGAATGACTTGACACCCCTCTCATTTCAGTCGCGCGTTTTGGTACATATAAATGATCGAGACTTAAGCAACAACAATCCAAAAGTATAAATGGTCGGTCTAAAGTTTACATTATTTTTACTACTATAATTTATATGGGGCTAATAGCATGTTTATTGGTTTGTCTCTTAACTTAGACTAGATTTTATACTCGCGCTACGCGCGAGTCTGTATTAATAATTTAGTTTAGCTTTAAAATAATTTAAAACAAAAAAAATAATTGGGTAACATAATTTTATTATTTAAAATATAATTTTTAATTTAGTATTTGTGTTTTCGTATAATTATGTTATCTTATTAGCTATTTAGTTATTTGTATTTGTAAATATAATAATTATGTTGTAAACATATTCATAATTTTTAGAAATATTAATTATATTTTATAATATTAAATAGATTTCTCAACATGTAAACGGTTAACACGTTATAAATTTTCATCATACATTTTTACATTTTTAACAAAATAAATAATTTAACTTCAGCATATTATATAATTTTTGTTTGTACTCTAAAAAATTAATTTTTTATTTTCTCCTTAAGTTGTATAAAATTTTAATATTTAAATAAGTAATATTTAGATTTTTTTATATGTAATGAATAACTGTATTTATTAACTGTATTGAGAAGTTCTACTTTGGTTTACTATTCAGTTTTTTAAGAAATAGCAAAATTAATATAATTATTTGACTAATTATTTTTGGTAATTATTTTATGTTATTTTCGAAATTATTTTA